ACCTTAGATCTCTCATAGACTGGCAGGCTGTGCTTGGTAATATTTTTTTTCTCAAGGCCTGGGATATAGGTGGTATTCAATAGTGTTGGTTAAGTCAAAACAAATAATGGGCCGGGTGCGGTAGCTCACGCCTATAATTCTAGCACTTTGGGAGGCGAAGGCGGCCGGATCATAAGGTCAGGAATTCGAGACTGGCCTGGCAAATATGGTGAAACCCCTTTTCTGCTAAAAATTCAAAAATCAGCCGGGTGTGGTGGTGGGCAACTGTGGTCCTAGCTACCTGGGAGGCTGAGGCAGGAGAATTGATTGAACCCAGGAGGTGGAGGTTACAGTGAGCCGAGATTATGCCATTGCACTCTAGCCTTGGTGACAGAGCAAGACTCCGTCTTGGGAGGGAAAAAAAAGAAATAATGGATGACTAATTTAAATTTGTAATTTCTATGTATAATTTTTCTATCCTAATATTGGATTGCTTTTATACTAAATGACTCTTCTTAATCTGTTGTATCAGGATGTGGAATTTACTCCCTGATGTAGAAAAACAAAACAAAACAACTTCAGGCATATATATGAGAAGCTATGTTTAAAAAAACTTTATTATGGACCATTTCAGACACACACATGGAATACTATAATGAACTCCCATTCACCTCAACTAGCTCTAACAACCATCAGTTTGGCTAATCTTGTTTCATTTATTGTTGGAGCTATCCCCTTTATTTTCAGTCTGCTCCTATGATCCATACATTCCTTTTCAGACAAAAACCGTTAAACAGTTACTTTAAATGACTTGGTGAATTCAGTGAACCAAAACTGTATTTTCCTGTTTTGAGGTTAAATGAATTAGAAAATTAGTGTCAATAAAATACACAAGAATATGAAAGAGAATAAGAATTTATGAAATGTAACTTTGGCTACATGCACTGTAATGATCAGGGTTTGGGATAGATAACAAAGCACAAGGTGAATAGACAAATCCCCATTTTGCAAGTTGAGGGTAAAGTAAAATAAAGTGATTTCAGGGGAAGGCAGGTTAAAGAAGGCCTTTTAAATTTATTTGGTTTGGCTGGCTTCTTTTTTTTTAAAGATTAGGGTGCATTATGAGTGACTTTAGGCGGAAGAGAAGAAAATCTTTATGAGGGGCTAAAGATTTACAAGCAACAGGTAATACTGAGGCAAGGAGGTAAGCAAAAGAAAACAACATCTGGAGGACAGGGAGAGAGAAAAGCCTGAGAGTTAACACCTTCCTTGCAAATAGAAGGTAAAGTATTACATGTGAGCAGGTAATACTGAGGCAAGGATTTAAGCAAAAGAAAACAATATCTGGAGGACAGGGAGAGAGAAAAGCCTAAGAGTTAACACCTTCCTTGCAAACAGAAGATAAAGTATTACATGTGAGAGCTATTAATGAGTGCTGGAGTTATAAAGGAGCAGGATGATGTTCAGAAAAGTTATCTATTTGGATACGAGGAGGAATCATAAGAGACTGGACAAGTAGGTAGTGAGGGCACTTAGTACTAGAAAATGTAATAAACTAAAGGTCTTATTGACCATACTGGTATCAAGAGCTATCTCAATGAACAGGATCTTAAGACTATTTCAGTTCCAATCATTCGTTCTCATTGCCTCTGCCTGATTCCAGTTCTGGTCTGGTCCCCGTTAAGTTTTATTTATAAACTACCTTTTATTTTTCTTCTGAAAATGAACAAGAGTTATGCATACATACATATACACACTTTATATTTAACACATATTTATACAGTGCTTACCATTGTCACATATCATTTATAATTATGAGTTCATTTGAGAAGAGACATATCTTCCCCCAAATTAAAAGATCTAAATTAATTTTCAATCTGTAGGAATAAATTTGGTTTAAGGATTGAGAGAAGAACCAAACTTCTGTGTGACCTAAACACTAAAAGTTAAATTCTCTAGACAGTCTCTGTTCCTACCTTGCCTACCACTACTATATTATGAGGAGGGAAGTGTTGGTGGAAGAGATTTACAAAGGCTTTGGGCCTCTCCCTACAGTATTCATAACAACTTTAATGCTTTTTGATGAAATAAAAAAGTAGTCATGGCAGGGTGTAGTGTCTCACGTATGTAATCCCAGCACTTTGGGAAGCCAGGGGACCAGGGAGCCTCATAACAATATTGAATACCTCCAGTTGAAGCCAATTACCTGCTTCAGTGATTTCCTATTCTTTAGACAATGGAAAATGATTGGGAAAGTTGCCTTTGAATTCCCCTACGGTTAGACTTAAAAAACAAAACAACAAATTGTCTTGTTTAAAAAACAAATCTTGCAGACTAGCCTGCAAAAGTCCTAGGGGGTTCACCTGTTTCACATTTCAGTAACACGCTACCTAAACAGACTTTAGTGTTCATGTACACAAAATGATCCCACATTTTAAACACACATTGTGGTATCTTTTGGTCCACCTCAAACATGTTCAGTCTTCCTGCAAAATTAAAAATATCAGCAGCACAAGTCACATGAACATCTCATTTCACAAGTCTTAATCCTAAGAGAACATAGCTTTTTAAAAAACAAAAACCAAAACCACAACCTATTTTAAATGCACCAAGTTGCCTCTATTAAAAAAGTCTCAAGATGAGTATCCTTTAACATAATTTTTGCAAATAATAATTTCTATATCATTAGTAACTTCAAAATGTCATGTCAACCTTACTCTGCCAGGTAAATTTTGACAACAGAAGTGGAACTCTCCAATTTTTGCAAACTACCTCTCTATGAAAAAATGAGGGCTCAAGTTAGTAGGAACTTGATATTACCTGACACTACAGATGCTCAATATTTACTGAACGTATTTTTAATTAACCTCTGGGACAATCTCTACGCAAAACTTTGCGAAGTGGCGTTTCATATAGGGGCAAAGATCACAAATACCGTGTCTGGTACACAGTATTATATTAACAATTATAACATCACCAAGAAAAGTGAAAATCCACACTAAATGACTGCTATTAAGTCTCTTAATTTTATTAAAACGGGACTTTCTGCGAAATACTGTTTCCAAACACTAGGTACTAGCACACGGGGAAGAAGACTCAGAAAGCTGAAGGTTCAACGAACGCGGTTTTCAATCCTCTATCCTGGACTTCTCCCACAGAGGGCCAGATGCCAGGGGCATAATACAAAACCGGGAAAACTGAAGGCCTCGGATTGGGTTTCATCCCTTTAAAAAAAAAATCTGCAAAACTAAGATGTGATTAGTCATGCACTGCTTCAAGGATCGCGGGAAATCGACTCTGTGGCCCGACGCTGACTGAAACATGAGAGGGGCAAACGGGTTTGCTGTTACTGTTTTCTCTTACCTTCTTTTCCAGGCTCTGTGACTTAAAGATATGTATGAAAACGTCTTAGGGGAAAACAAAAAAAGTTAGCGGCGCGGTCATTAGGTGTTAGGTTTTGGCTAATTAGGGGAAACGTGGACCAGAGATGAGACGTCGGCGTGGTCTCAAACCATTAATCCATCCCTGACCTCGCCCCCTTCGGCTGTCGGGCCCAGAACCCGAAGCCGGGCCAAGCGCTTGCCCTTCTGCATCTCAAGGTTATAGGATCGGCGGGCGCGTAGAGCAGGGGTAAAACAACCCAGCCGAGATGCGGGAGCCGCAACTGCTGCGCCTCACCAGCCTCACCCGCTCCCAAGCCCCACTTCACCTCGTACGCTGGAACTGGAAGTCAGACTCATGGCGCCGTCGCTTGCAAGGCGTGTGCACTAGGATACCGGGCACAAACGGGTTCGCGCAGCTGGCGAGAGTCAAGGTGCCAGCAGCGTACTAAAGGCACCGACTCCGCGCTGCTACCGCGCAGGCGCCGCAGCCAGCCGTAAGCACGTGTATGTGAGCTCGACCCCGGTAGGTGCTGAGCATGCGTGGAGCTATGTGCTGGGCTTTAAGGAAGTCTGGACTACGGATTTTGACAGCCACAGGAGCGGAGGGGAAAATACTTAGGTAGCAACTGAGTTTGCGCAACGCCGAGGGGCGGGGCCCTGAAGCGGAGGGACAGGGTCCTGGGAATAGGAAATCCAGGCCAGATTTTACGTCTCTTTCAGGTGGTGTGGGCTTCTCCGGGCAGAGACGAGTATTAGTAGGACGCTTAACTTTAATCAGATACCTAAGATTTGACCCCAGTTTTTCTTGCTCAGGGCTTGTGACGACTTACCTTCAAGGCCAGGTCTAGCTTTTATATAACATGCCAGTGGCGGACATACAGGAATCAATGACTGAGTCCCATTCCAGAATCTCGCGTAGCTACCGATGTCCATCCTTTTCTTATATTTTTGATCTAGTCAGTCATCTACTCAGGACCTTGGAACCTACGTATCTTAAAGGTCGAGTGGGAGAGAAAAAAATCTTGCTTCTCTCTTTAAAAAACGTGTTCACTTAAAGAAATTAGGATTTTTCTCTATCTTCTACGGCCTTAAATTAGAGTCGGTTCCATTTTTATTTTTTGGTAAGAGTGATTTAGAGACAGTAATCCGGGGAGGGAGGGTGAGATTAACTAGAAGGGTATTTTGATGGCGCGTCTTCGAATAAGCTGCCTGGTTTTTACTTCTGTTGTTTTGGTGCGGTGTGGGAGCCGGAGGGAGGTCACTGCAGTTAGGGGTGGCCCACCCTTGGCAATGCTAGAGCCTTCCAATTCTAATACCGGACTGCTCCGCACACTTGGAAGTCCCTGGCTTCTCTGAGTCGACCCCCGGGACGCGCTGAAAAGCGCGTTGAATGAATGAAACCACAACAGGACACGTGACTTCGAAACGCCGGTGGATAGGGGTGAGAAGGACCAGGAGGGCGCTCCCCCCATCCGTGTCGCGGTCGTCAGTTCCCTGACGCTCAGCGCGCCCGCCCGGCTGCTGGGGTCCAGTCAGACCGCCTCTGGGCATGCTCAGTAGCGGCGGCGGCGGTGGCTGTGCAGGCGGCGCTGACGCTCGCGCGGCAGCCGAGGGGACTGGAGGACGGCGGGAGGGGGAGGGGGCGGGGGCGCAGGAGGTGGGGCCGCCATCGCCGTCAGGGCCCCAGGGAGCGCGGGGCGCCGCTGCCGCTGCTCCTCGGCTCGGTTCTGTCTACTGGGCAGCGCCGGGCCGGCAGCTGGGCGGCGGAGGAGCAGGAGCCGGGAGTCAAGCTCTGCCGAGAGTTGGGCAGAGGAGCGCCCGCGCCCCGTTCGGCGTCATGGGCACCCTCCCCGGGCCTCAGCGGGCACCAGCCGCGGGAACCCCCGGGCCTCCTCGCGCCCGAGCCTGAGCGACCCCCGGGTTCTCCGGCGCCCCCTCCCTCGCCCTATTTTTTTTTTACCTGCTCTCCCTGCCGCTACCGCTTCGGCTCTCAGTTATGGCAACAGAGCCCCCATCCCCCATCCGGCTCGAGGCTCCGGGTCCCCCTGAAATGCGGACCCCACTGGCGATCGAGGCCACCCCTGAGGGCGCCCCGCAGCCGGCGGGCGGCAGACTCCGCTTCCTCAACGGCTGCGTGCCCCTCTCGCATCAGGTGGCCGGGCACATGTACGGGAAGGACAAAGTGGGTAAGTGGGGGTGGCACGGGGCTCGCCGCTCCCCTTCCGCCTCCGCGAGCCCCCTGCCAGCCGAGGCAGTCTGGCGCTCCCGGGCCGGCCTGGACGCCCCTCGGGTGTGCACACCAAATCCCTGGCCTCTTCCGCTGTCCCCAAAGCCTCGCCACCCGTGCAGAAGGGGCTTGGAAAGTGGGACAATTCCTAGGGTGTGGGTCGTCAGGCTTGCAGCACGGGTGGCAGGGAGAGGCGTGCCTGGTCTCACTCACCCCCTAAGGAGGTTGGGTGTTGATTGGAGACGGCGTTGTTAGTGAAAATAAGGAACTTCATTTTTACTGGACAGGGAAGTAAATTCTCCCCTGAGCACAAGGTCTGTTTATTATAGGCGAGTAGCTATTGCAAAAGAAAAGGAATGAAATGCAGTTGATGCTAATCTAGTACTTCTCTGCTGGGTGCAGCTGCATAGCTAGAGGGGAAGAAAAACACTGGGCTTTTTTGGGGGGGAGGTGAGAAGGGGAGAAAGCCTGTCGTGACTTCTCCGTGATTTCTCCCTGCCCCTTGAGGAGGTTTTTCTGGTGTCTCCTTGATTTCTCCGGGAGGCGTGGTTACAGTAGTGTAGAAATTCGGATTCTTGGTAGGAAATACACACAGATATTGTACTAGAATAATGCACAAAATGCTCAGCTATTCTTGTTAATTTTATAAGGCTATATCATGACCACTGTAATACATTTTCTGAGTTCACAAGTTTAAAGCCTATCTCAGTTTAGGAACTGTAATTTATCTGTCTTACTCTTAGTGGTTCCCTGGGCCATGATTACTTGGATAATCCGACGGATGAGTGTGTGAGTATTGTGGATCTTTGACCCGGAAGAGCCACTAGAGACAATTTAGTTTGTGCTGGTAAAATGATTCGGGTTTAGGCTGCTAATCCTGACATTTTTAGATGAGGTGACTAAGGCCAACCCTGGTTAAGAATGACGTGCCTAAAGTCATGTTACAATGTGTTAAGAATTGTGAAACCAAGAGTTCTTCCTTGGAGTACTGTTTTTTTCACCATATATTGTGTTTGCTGAAAGAACTCAAGGCTTTTTGAAAATGGATAAATATTAGTTTGAATATATGCTATTTCTCAAAGCGACATTTCCCACTACTTTTATTTTTACCTACTTTGGTGAAAGTGAGGCGTTAATGACAATACCGTTCTCTAGATTGAGTGCCTTTTTCTCCACTAAATTGTGAATTCCTAGAGGTTGGAGAGGGAATCTGTGTATTCTTTTGGCCTGGTGCACAGACACCAGGTAACACTCAGGAAATGCTGAAAAGTGAAAGCTGACAGTTCTTTTAGTACACCGAGGTAAAGAAACATCCTCAAGGTGCTCAGCATAGACATTTCCTCTGTGCGTCAGTGTCTTGTAATGAGAGTTTTAGAGTGCTCGTGGGGTTTCTGTTAATAGAGGAATGCCCATTGATTTATATTAATAAATTGTGATGGTAATATTCCTAATAATCTAGATGCCTGAAAAAGTAAATGTTTCCCTGAAACCTTCCCTGAAGGTCCCTAGAGATTGACTTATATGCAAAGGAGAATAGATTTTTAAAATCCCAACATAAAAACAATCTAAATGATGACTGTCACTTAAGAGTGTAACCACTGCTTATCGCCGTATGTAACAGTGATCCCATTCAGAGAGTTATTGCAAATAGTGGCTGAAAAGTTAATTTGTCACCCAAATTGCCTAATTAAAGGAATAGTTTAGATTCTCAAGGTAGTAGTCCTTAATTTTATTATTGCATTCAATGTAAGATAAACTTTTTTTTTCAATTTCATAAGGTTCTTTTGACTAGGGACTGTCTTTGTGTCACCGTAGTACAATGGCTTAAACATACTGTGCTAGCAACCTAATAAATATTTGTTGAATTTAATTCTCAGATAGTTGTACAATCCTGCATGTATTGTTAAGTAAAAGGATAACTGAATGATAATCATCTTCCATATTTGTAAAATGGATAACAAGATGGTCACTAATTCAAAGTTCAACAGTTTATTGTGTTTCTCCACTGTCGTAAGTCATGTACGGTTTAAAGTACATCATTTAGATCATGCTTTGGTCTGTCAATTGAAATAATTCTCAAGATAAGCTTTGTTAAGGACATTATGTTGATATTTGTTTTGTTTTGTTTTTAAATTTGTGTTACTATCATTAAGTAACCAGAGATGTTCAATTTAAGATTATTTTACCTGTTTCCAAAAAGTGCTTGTTAGCTTTGTTAGTTTAAAAATTAAACTCATGGAACGAACTTTCTGAGCACAAAGGTGCTTGAGCAGAAAAAGAAATCTAGTTATATATGGTAGGTAGGAAGCATATATTAGTAGTTCAGATATCAAGTTATAGTTTATGTTATTCACTCAAACCATATTTCATCAAAGTACATTTTAATCTTAGTTCTGAATAGAAACTATTTTGTTTTTTAAATTGTAAAAATTATATAGTACCCGGATCTTTTCGGAAAAAAATTCAAACAGTTTAAGTAATGCCCTTCCCCCTACACATTCTCCCAGAAGCAATCACTGGTAACTGCTTCCTGTCTCTCCTTTCAGGCCTTTGTTTCTGGGTACATACATAAACACATTAGCACAGTTCTGTTTTTTTATACAAATAAATCTATCAGCAACTTTTCTCACTCATTCTGTATTATATCATGTTTTATACCTATATTTTTGAACTTATGATATGCTTTATTTCTTTCTAAAAATTGTATTCTACAATGTGGATGTATCAATTTATTTAACTATTTCTCTAATGGTAGATTTTTAGACTTTCACCATTCGTTTGTGGTTATAAGTAATGTATTTATTAAACATTCTTGTATATTATAGCATACCTTGCACATTCTGTACCTATTTCTGTAGGAAGTTTTCACACAAAAAAGCTATCAATTTAAATTTCCAAAACTCACCAAAGTTAGCATAAAATTTTTTCTGCATAAAATTCTTTTAATATGTATTATTAATTTCTTTAAAAAGTCCTTAAAGTTTTAAACAAATGGTGGAAATCTGATATTTATTTCTTGATCCTACGTAGGATGTAGATATGGGGTAGTCTATAGGGAAAATAAGGATTTAAACTGATAATTGTTCTGGAGGAGAAAGGCCTACAATTATCTTGACTTAGTAGTCTATTGCGTGTGTGTGTGTGTGTGTGTGTGTGTGTGTGTGTGAGAGATGGAGTCTCACTGTCGCCTGAGCTGGATTGCAGTGGCGCAGTCTCGGCTCACTGCAGCCTCCTCCTTCTGGGTTCAAGTGATTCTCCAGCCTCAGCCTCCCCGGTAGCTGGGATTACAGGCTCCCGCCACACCCAGCTTATTTTTTGTATTTTTAGTAGAGATAGGGTTTCACCATGTTGGCCAGGCTGGTTTCAAACTCCCGACCTCGTGATTTGCCTGCCTCCACCTCCCAAAGTGCTGGGGTTACAGGTGTGAGTTACCGCACCTGGCCAGTAGTCTATTTTTATTAGCTATCCTCTGAAACTAATTGACCTAAAAAATTTTTAAGTCTACAGAAAAGTTGCAAGAACAATAGAAATTAACATTTTGGCAAATTTGTTTTATTATCTCTCAATGCAAATACTTTTTTCTTAATTATTTGCAAGTAGGTTGTATACATCATGCCACTTTACATGTTAATACTTCAGTGTGTCTTCCTTTTTATTTATTTATTTATTTACTTATTTATTTAAGGCAGGGTTTCACCATGTTGATCAGGCTGGTCTTGAACTCCCGACCTTAGGTGATCTGCCTGCCTTGGCCTCCAAAGTGCTTGGATTACAGGTGTGAGCCACCACGCCTGGCCTTTTTTTTTTTTTTTAAGACAGAGTCTTCTTCTGTCACTAGGCACCAGGCTGGAGTGCAGTGGTTCAATCTTGGCTCACTGCAACCTCTGCCTCCTGGGTTTAAGCAATTCTCCTGCCTCAGCCTCCCAAGTAGCTGGGACTACAAGGTGCATGCCACCACACTCAGCTAATTTTTGTAGTTTTTTTAGTAGAGACGGGGTTTCACCATGTTGGCCAGAATGGTCTCAATCTCTTGACCTTGTGATCCACCCGCCTCAGCCTCCCAAAGTGCAGGGATTACAAGCACGAGCCACTGCGCCCGGCTAGTGTGTCTTCCTTAAGAACAAAGGTATTCTCTTCTGTAGCCATAGCACATTGATCAACTATGGGAAATTTAGCAGGGATACAATACTTTAATCTATAGTTATATTCTCACTTTGTCAACTGTTCCAATACTGTATTGTCTTTTATCACATTTGTTTCTCTCAGTACAGGATCCAGTCCAGAATCATTTATTGCAATTAGTTGTTATGTCTTTTACTGTCCTTTCATTTGTATCATATCCTCAGCCTTTCCCTGTCTTTTATGAGATTGTCATTTTGAAGAGTCCAGGCCAGTTACTTTATGAAATGTTCTTTAATTTGGGTTTCTGATAGTTCCTTATGATGGGATTCAGGTGATACATTTCCAGCTGGAACATTATATAAGTGGAGGCCAACAATATCTGCTCTTTAGTAGTTGATTGATTCTGGTTGTCTGATTCAAGTGTGGTCTGGCTTCTTCAGTATATAGTTTTTTGTTTGTTTGTTTGTTGAGACAGGCTCCTGCTCTGTCACCCAGGCTGGAGTGCAGTGGCATGATATAGTTCACTCTAGCCTCAAAATTCAGGGCTGAAGCAATCCTCCTGCCTCAGCCTCCCAAGTTGCCAGGAGTGTGGGTGCACACCACTAGTCCAGGCTAATTTTTTTTTTTTTTTTGAAATGGGAGTCTTGCTCTGTCGCCCAGGCTGGAGTACAGTGGCACAGTCTTGGCTCACTGCAACTTTTGTCTCCCAGGTTCAAGTGATTCTCCTGCTTCAGTCTCCTAAGTAGCTGGGATTATAGGAGTGTGCCACCACACCTGGCTAATTTTTTTATTTTTAGTAGCGATGGGATTTTGCCACGTTGGCCAGCCTGATCTTGA